TAGTAGTAGTAGTAGTAGTAGTAGTATTAGTAGTATTAGTATTAGTATTAGTATTAGTATTAGTATTAGTGGTAGTAGTGGTAGTGGTAGTGGTAGTGGTAGTGGTAGTGGTGGTGGTGGTGGTTTTAATTGTATACCGCATTTCTCCCAACAAAAGGATACAAGGAGGCTCTTTATACTTTATAAAGAGCTATGAATTGTTCTAAAAGTAACAATTGTTCATCTAATGCTTCCTTGTAATATATACACCACAACAGGATGTGTTCAGTTGTTTTTATCTGCTCCATTCCACATGGGGAAAGGCACTCTGCCCAGGGGATCTTTTTATACCGTCCCTCCTGCACTGCTGAAAGTAGTGTGCCAGGCCAGAATAAATGCCCTTCTATGTCTGGGCTGCTCCAACTGGGCAAAATAAGATGCTGCCTTCCCTAAGGTAGAATTCTAGGGCACTGCTTAAATCATCTTGTCTCTCGATGTCCTCAATACGTTGCTTAATGATTTTCTTTGCCTATTCCATTCCCATGGTTAACAGAGTCAACCTAAAGAGACCCAAAGAGGCTATTTTTTGCTCAATTAACTGAACCCATTTTGACTTTAAGGTGTCTTGTAAGATCAATGGTGAAGACCAACAGGGAGATAAGACAGTCTGAGCCAGTTGAGTATATGAGAACTGCAATCCATATCCTGGCTTCGGTTTTAATTTGACCAGTTTCCAATCTTAGTTTTACGCTGGCAACATCTCTGGGGACTCCTAACATTGCTCTCAGGAATTTTGATTGGACATGTTCTAGGGTTGCAATATTTGGGAAAGGGCCCAATTGGGAGCCACAAAGTAGTTGGGTTACTGCTTTTGTATGGAACAATTTAATGGCTGAGGGAATGTAATGACCCCCCTTTGTTCTCATAAATTGTAATATTGCAGCAGAACTTCTCTGGGCATTTTATGCCACATAATCACCGTGTGCTTTCCTAAAGCCGTTAGATTGGAAAACGACACCTAAATATTTAAATTGGTGGATCTGATCAATTGTATGCTTATTTATCATCCATGTTAACATTATTGGCTTTTTGGCAAAAGACATTATTTTTGTTTTTTGAAAATTAATTATCAGGTCTTCCTGCTCACAACCTTTGCAATGCTCTTCTAAGCCCAACTGGGGTCCTAGAGATGATAGCTGCATTATTGGGGTCCCAGAGATGATAGCTGCATCACCGGCATACAGTAATGTTGTTATATGCCTCCCTGCGATTTTAGAGGGATGAAAGTCAATATTTTTTAACTGGTCCACCATAGAATCAATGTAAAAATTAAACAAAAGTGGAGCCAGAAGGCAGCCTTGTTTGACTACTTTTTGGGTTTGAATGGCATTAGTAAGATGGCTGTGAGCACCACATCTTACCTTAAGTGAGGTATTTCTATAGTGAGCCTGAATGAAGCAGACGCCTGTCAATGTTAGAAGCTTCTAGTTTCCTCCATAATTTGACCCTTGATAGTGTCAAAAGCTGCCTTGAGATCTATAAAAGCTACATGGAGTGAGGCTGCTTTATCAGAGGTATATTTTTCAATAAGACATTGTAATATCAAGCATTGGTCAATGGTAGATCGACCTTCCCTGAAGCGTGCCTGCTCGTCTGCAGGTATCTTATCCTGCTCCAGCCAATCTTTAAATTTCCCATATAAGTGCCTGGTATATAATTTAAAATTTGTGCTAAGAAGACTAATAGGCCTGTAGTTTGCAGGATAATCTCTTTTTCCCTTCTTAAATAAGGGGACTATGATAGCAAATCCCCTGTTTTCTGAAATTCAGCCAGTTTTATCAATATACATGAATAGCGATGCTAGAACTGGAGCCCAAAATTCTAAATTATTTTTGACCACCTCTGGAGGAATCAGATCTTCTCCAGGGGTTTTTCCCATTTTCATCTGGGCTATTAAATTGTGTATTTCGGAAGTTGACACTGGTGACCATGGTCAAACATCTTCAAGTGTGCTATTCCATCTCAACTGGGCCACATCTGAGTCTTTATATAAGTCTCGAAAGTGTGCTTTTCCCATGTCTCTGGGTGGATATAACAATCTGGGAGTGTTGGTCCAGAGGTTGGAGAGATCTTTATCAGCCGCCAGAACAGAGTAACGTCCTTAGATTTTGCTGCTTGAATCAATTTTTCCCAATTTTCTTTCTGGGCTTCTTTTTTCTTTTGCAGCAACACAGAGTTTCCTGGAGACATCCAAGATCCAAGCATTGGCATCAGCTCGATTTGATCCTCACTAGACGTTCTAGCCTTCCTAGTGTTACGATCACACGCAGCTACCAGAGTGAAGACTTTTTTAGCTAGTACACATTCCTTGTCAAACCATGGCTTTGAAGTTGGATAGTGCCATTGTTGTGTCGGTTCTGCCTTTCCAGTAACAGACTGTTTCAGTTGGTGGATCAGCTCCTCATAAGTTTCCACCGGGTTGCTTGTGTACAGTATAGACGTCCTAATGCTTTGCATCGTGTCAGATGCAAGTAAAGTCTGTAGATCCAAGTCCATCTTTGGGGTCCATTTGGCCCAACAGTATATTCCCCCTTCAGGAAGTATCATAGGTGGGTATTGATTGTCGCTTCTTAGATACGGAAAAGGGGCTTTCATAATTAGCAACACAGGGAGATGATCACTTTGGAATTTTGGGGCTGCTTCCAGATTCTCCAGTAATGGAATCAAATTTGATGAAATGATTAAATAGTCTATTTGGCTCATTCTAGTTCCTGCTAGGTAGGTGAATTCAGCCGGGTAGTCATTCCCATATGCACCATTTAGAATGTGCAGGTTTTGTGGAAAACACAAAAATGGAAAACACAAGTAGTATTGAAAATCCAATTAAAGCAGCAATTCATAACAATCCATCTACAAATCACATGCAGGTAGCTAGTTTCTGAGGAAAGGCTTGCCCGAAGAGAAAGGTCTTCACTTGCTTGTGGAAGGACAGCAAAGATGGGGCCAGTCCAGCCTCCTGTGGGAGGAAGTTCCAAAGTCTAGGAGCAGCAACAGAGAAGCCCCTCTTGCATGTCCCCATCAGACTCACCTGTGAAGGTGGCAGGACTGAGAGAAAGGCCTCTCCTAAATATCTTAACACCTGGGCCAGCTCATGAGAGATACAGTCTTTGAGATAGCTTGGTCTGAAATAAAAGCCTCTCCTGAATATCAACACCTAAGCCAGCTCATAAGAGATACAGTCTTTGAGATAGCTTGGACCCAGGCCATTTGGGGCTTAATAGGTTAAAACAAGCACTTTGAAATATGCCCATCAGCTGATCGGCAGCCGGTGGAGCTGCTATAACAGAGGTGATTCCTGTAACCAGCTCCAGTCAGCAATCTGGCTGCTGCATTTCAGGCCTGCTGAGGTTTCCTGACACTTTGCAGCAGCAGCCCCACATAGAACGCGTCACAGTAATCCAGCCAGGAAGTAACTGTGGCATGTGTCACAGTGGCCAGATCAGATCTCTCAAGCAACAGACATAGCTGGCGCACTAGTTTTAATTGTGCAAATGCCCTCCTGGCTACTTCTGAGACCTGTATATGCAGGTTCAGAGATCAACCTTGGAACACCCACAAGCTGCACACCTGTTTTTTTAATGGATGTGTAATCCCACCCAGTACTAGCTGAATCCCTGTTCCTTGAACTGCCTTTTAACTGACCAGAAGCACTTCTGTCTTTTCTGGATTAACTTTCAATTTATTCACCCTCATCCAGTCCATTACTGATACCAACACTGATCTAGAGCCAAAGCATCTTCCTCTGAGTCAGATGACGAAGAGAGGTAGTGTTGGGTGTCATCCGCATACTGGTGACACGGAACCCCAAAACTCTGGATAATCTCTCCCAGAGGTTTCATGTACAAGTCAAAAACATCAATGACTTGAAATGACCAGAGAAGGTTAAAGAAGAAAGCGCAGCAGGACTATATTTGAACATTAGGACAACAAAAATCACAATCACAGAAGAATTATATAACTTTAATATTTACAATGAAGAAATCAATATTATTGAAGATTTTCTACAACTTTCAGTCATCAATCCAAAGGCAGACTATAACTAAGAAATCAGAAAAAGGCTGAGATTTGGAAGGACAATGATGAAGAAACTAAAAATGATCCTTGTGAATAATGATAGCTGGAAACCAAGACGAGACCAAGATCATCCAATAAATGGTATTCTCAATTACTATGTATGGATGTGAAAGCTGGACAATGAAGAAATCTGACAGGAAAAATATCAACTCATACAAAATGTGGTGTTAGAAGAGAGCTTTACAGATACCATGGACCATCAGAAGGACAAATAGATAAGTTCTAGATCAATCAAACCTGAACTCTCAACAGATGTTAAAAAGGCTACATAAAGGGTGTTATACTTTGGGCCTATCCTAAAAGGAAAGGCCCAACAGAGAACACAATAATGCTAGAAAAAGTTGAAAGCTGTACTACTACATAAAGGGTGTTATACTTTGGACCTATCCTAAAAGGCAAGGCCCAACAGAGAAGACAATAATGCTAGAAAAAGTTGAAAGCTGTTAGAAAAGAGCAAGACTGAAAATGAGACATGGATTCACTTGGTGAAGGAAACCACGGCTCTTAGTATGGAAGAACCAAACAGGGTTGCTGATAACAAAACTTTTTAGAGATCATTTCTTCACAGGGTCATAATGGGTCCAAAGCGACAACAGCCCATAACAGCTACTTACTCCAAAACTACAACAACCCATAAAGTCTATTAAGACTTTTCAGAGAAATTTGAACTAAGGGCATCTCTGGTTCACAGCTCAGTCATTATACCTCACTAGCTCTCCTTTAGTACACTAACTGCTGCACACCAAAGCTACATCAAGACATCTTCAAGCTTATTTCATAACCATATTTCAAAGGTAATTTACTTCCTCTCACTTCTTTTAAAACTGGGAGGACTCCATTTCCACTCTCTGCATACCCAAGTAAAAGGGTATGCATTTTTATCAAGATGTTTAAGAACTAAATGAGGAGGAGAATTAAGAAACCAAAAATAATATAGCATAAGATGCAAGCCAAACAGCTAGCAGGGAAATATCTTTTCTGACATTGTTATTTCTTTTTTGGTACATGTAGTTACCAAAAGAGGACACTAGATCCTCTTTTAACAATGCAACACCACAATTTTGTCAAGGCTGCTGCAACATTAGTTTATAACAGATGTCAGCCATACGAAACAAAGATACTATGTGTGTATACATGCAAATGTATAGCAATCCTCCCAACTAAAACGTAAGAAATAAACCTGGAGGTGATCTCAGATTACCTTTTTTTGCCATCAAGGTAGTTCCAATATGGATTTCTTTCTATTACTTCACACCCTATGACTTACTGCAGCAAACTTGTAAACTTGGATTTCATTTGTATTGACCATGTGAGACTTAACAGTAACAATGAAAAGTGAAATAAGAAATCAAAAATCCATTAATTTTATGGGAGCACTTGCTCTACACTTCAACTGTTCAGAAGCCTACAATGCACCATTTCTTAATTTGTAACGTCTTCACAGAGTACATATAACAATAAAATATTTTGCTCTCTCTCTCTCTCTTTTGGTCAGCAAACAAAACCTCAACCAGGAGCCCAATGCCAAAAATTCAAAGTAAATACCACCAGCAGAAATTATTTCCTGCATTTTTTTCCTGTTATTACTTTGCAACTATTCTTTGTGCTATGATGGTGCTATGTTGTAAGCCTATTAGGAATATGCATGTCAAGACATGTTTTGCTCTAAATACAAAACATTCACTTCTCTAAAAGAGCCAAGTCCCTCCCATTCCAGTACTTCTGACCTACATAATGCTCATCCTATCAGTCTGCCACTACCCCCCCCCACACACACACATCAAATCATTAACGGGAATGTGCTGTCCTGTGCAAAATCACCAGTCAATTTTTTTTCTCCAGGAAATTTATTCCCTAAAACTAACACCAGATAATCCCTACAATAAAAGAGGCTGCTCAGAACAGCACATCCAAAAGATGCAAGCAAACCAGCAATCATTTTTATTAAGCAACCATTCAAACACATCTATAAATGCAAAAGGCAATCTGAATACTATTCAGAACATAATTCAAACTACTGATGAACCATTTAAACTGGAAATGGCTTCCATGCTACTAAAAAATTTAGTATTAAAGAGCTATACACTGAGAATCACATCGAGACAGATTTTCAAAATCAGATGCATTCATCCCCATGAGCCATCCAGTGACCACATACATTTACTAACCAAAACACACAAGCATTGATCCAGAAAATTAGTGAACTACTCCAATCATACAGTATTTTGACTACTGATCTAAATAAGAGGATGTTTAAATGTTTCCTTGGGATAGATTTCTGCAGCAGATTCCTTAAACTAGTTGCCGTGGGGGAGAGGACGAGAACAGAGACAGAAAATCAAAATACTCCCCCAAGGATTGTCCTAAATGTTACAGTATGTAAAGCACAATCCCACCACCACGACTCCTGTACAAAGGAATTTCAGTAACTTTTCCCCCCACTGCCCTAGAATTTAATTTGCTTTTAAGACTGTGATTTAAAAAGCAAAGCAAAACAAGAGCTTCCTCTAAGTGATTATGCTAACTTAGTTCAGGATACGTAGCTAAACCACCCCCTCCCTTTCCCGAGTATTGCACTACTCTTGTCTCCTTGACCTGGCAGTGTAAACACAATGTTGTTAACTGAAGTGCTGATTACCCTGTGCGGTTTTTGTTATTTATCTAATGGCCCCTCCTCCAAACAACTTCCCCAGCTGTGCAAGCAGCTGGCGCCCTTATTCCTCCTCTTCCTGCTGCTGCAGGATTTAACACCGTCCGTTTCAATACACTCTAGCCTGTCTCCTTCTCTCTCTGATTCCTGGCAATCGCCACGGCTTTCTGTCTCTCTGATC